AAAGACAGTCAGGAAAGTATATACAACAAAAAATATGTCCTGTTAACATTAAGGAAAGTGCTGCCGACTGCGCCCTGTTAGCCTACGTCAAATTTTGAGTAATATTCGGATGTACCATGCGAAATCGAGGAAATGTGCAAAAAACGTCTTCCTTCTTCTTCTTCTTCTTCGGCCATTATTAGCCAGTATTATTAGATAAGATATTTAATTATTCAGCTTAATTAACAAATGTGGTGAGAACAACTGGAAATTATATTAGATATGAAGGGATTAGAAGCAAAACCGCCTAAGTGTTCGAGAACGCGTGTGCTCCATATTTGCTTCTATTTAGCAGCAAAATCGCCCAGGTAAAAATCCCTGACGGCCTCTTTTGCTAAACCAAAAATTCGATATAAGGGAACCTCGCTAGACGCCTCAGTGGTACTTGGGTTGTTTTGTTACTGAATGTATTTTTTGGTTAGAATATTACAAAATTTAATCACAGAGATTATATTATTATCTTCTGGATCAGGTAAACAAAAATATTGTCGGGTATAAAAAAAGAGTGGAATTTTAAGACAATGATAGTACCTATGCTTATTTAGACTCACACTCACAGGGCCGCCTGCGAGTTCCATCTGGATCCATTAGGCCGGTCGTCCATTATAATAGTGTGTAGGTTGTGGTCCGTTCGTGTGAACATAATGGTGTGTAGTCCGTGGACCGGGGTCCATTGGTTGCGTTTTTGCCCGAATTGTTTCGTCAGAAATCGTGCGAAAAAGAGCTAATGATCCAATTTTATTGCAATCTACTGAAGCTTGTCCACAAGATCCGAATCCGATCCTTATGTACGAATTTGCACGTACAAATGTAAGGAAAATGGATCGTTAGGTCTGTCGTCCTGTGGAAGGATTTCCTCAGATGCATATGTAAGTATCGTCCACTGGAAGTTTTTTTTATCGTACGAATTGGTCATGTGTTGTTATGTATCAAATAAGCACATTTATACAGGGTTATTACAGAATAATGGATGATTTTCTGTTGAAAAATAATCATCTTGTGAGAAGACGATCACAGCTAAAAAGAAAAAAACTATTGGGTAGTACATGTACTCCCTCAGGCGAAGTTCTTGAAACCTCCTACGAACAACTCCAAACCGCCGTAAATATTACTAAAAGGTCCGAATTAACCATTATTATGAATGACTTTAATGGCAAAGATTGGCAGCGGTACGAGGGAAGACAGCAGTGGACATGGATTGGGTATAGCAAAAGAGCGTGGGGACCGATTATTCCACTTTTGCCAGGAGATGGAGTTTGTTGTCTCAAACACTTTCTTTAAGCTTCCACCAATATGCCTGTACACTTGGACTAAAGCCCATACGCCACGGAGGATAATCAGAAACCAAATAGAYTTTCTACTGATAAATAAACGATACAGAAATTGCACAATCCGCTTGTAGCAAATACTCAATTAACTCTGAAAAGGTGTACCCACAGTAAAGGGAAACTGCCCGAAACCAGACCTGATAGGTCAGGAACGAACTAAAGTGTGGACTAAGCATGGTGAAAGTCGGGGAGAATTGCGAGACTGTTTGGAGCAACATCAAAGAGGCTTTSACAAACAGAAGCTCGAAATTATCTTCAAACAATACAAAAATCGAAAAGAAAGCTTCGATGACTGGTGACAWTCTTTATTTAATGGAAGAGAGACGCTTGAAAAAAGATCTTGCGGAATACCWCCAGATGAATCGTGAAATAARGMACAAAATTAGAATGGGCAAAGGAAACTGGATTAACAAGTAATGTCGGAAAATCGAAGATCTGGAGGCTAAATACGACACTGAACRTGCWCAAGAAAATTAGGGAGTTTTTTTCACAAACTTCTTGTTGGGCATTTTGCCTCAAMATTTTTTTCTTTAAAAAAGACAGAATTTCYTCACGTTTTCTATTACAGATTGTAAAATAGTGCTCCTATTTCGCAAATGAATCCGCCTCAACAATATAGAACTTATCTAAAAATTAGGGAGGCTGTTGGTGCATACAAGTAGTGATGAGCAAAGCAAGATCAATACCAAAACTTACATGGTCTTAGTCTTGGTCTTGCAGCAAGACTCTTGCAAGTCTTCCAAGTCTTCATTCATCATATTTAAGGGCT